GTAGGGTGTTGCCTCCAGGTGCAAGAGTCTGATATGCGGGTAGAATGTTTTCATTGTTTTAGGGCCTCCTTACTGCCCTGTGGCCTAACAAAACCAGCCAGGAAGGCCTCTGGTTTAGCCTCTCTTTGGGGCTTTGCTGAAGGATCTGACATTTCATCCCTGACTAGGGTGGCCCAGTCCCAGGACACAGGAGCAGGTTGGCTCTTCAGGGGATGAGTCATCCACAGCCATGCAGGCCTGGACATCCAGCTGCCCAGGATGAGGCTCAGGCCAGTGGCCAATGGCAGCCTGCAGGGGTGTCCTGGCAATGCCTAGGCCTGGGGCTGCCCAAGGCTAGCTTAATATTAGTGTCATATGGTTATGATAACAAATGACCACAAACTTGGTGACTTAAAATAACAGAAAGAGATGTACTCTTATTCTTGCTGGGCTTGGTGGCTCAGGCCTGTAATCTTAGCACCCTATGAGGCTGAGGTGGGAGGATCACTTGAGGCCAGGAGTCAAGACCAGCCTGAACAAGAGCAAAATCCTGTCTCTACAAAAAGGTAGAAAACTTAGCTGGGCGTGGTGGTACACACCTGTAGTCCCAGCTACTTGGGAGACAGAGGGCATAAAATCACTTGAGCCCAGGAGTTTGAGGCTGCAATGAGCTATGATGAAGCCACTGCCTCCTAGCCTGGGAAACAGAGTAAGAGTGTCTAAAAAAAAAAAAAAGAAAAGAAAAGAAAGAAAAAAAATTTGTTTTGGCCTGGCATGGAATCATAGCACAGGAAAAGAAAATGAAGGTTTTTTTTTTTTTTTTTTTTTTAGAGACAGAGTCTCACTTTGTTACCCTCGATAGAGTGCTGTGCCATCACAGCTCACAGCAACCTCCAGCTCTTGGGCCTGGGCAATTCTCCTGCCTCAGCCTCCTGAGTAGCTGGGACTACAGACGCCCACCATGCTGCCTGGCTATTTTTTTGTTGCAGTTTGACTGGGGCTGGGCTTGAACCTGCCACCCTTGGCACATGGGGCCGGCGCCCTACTCACTGAGCCACAGGCACTGCAGCCCAGAAAATGGAGGTTTTTAAAGGAAAAAGTGGGGAGGATTACATGATTGTTTCTGGATAATTATTCTTGCCTGCAAAGATTAAAGGAAGGCCAAGAGGGGAGGATCACTTAAGCTCAGGGATTTAAGACCAGCCTGAGCAAGAGTGAGACCCTGTCTCTACTAAAAATAGAAAAATTAGCTGGGTGTCATGATGGGCACCTGTAGTCCCAGTTACTGGGGAGGCTGAAGCAGGAAGATCACTTTAACCCAGAAGTTTGAGGTTGCTGTGAGTTAGGCTGACGCCATAGCACTCTAGCCGGGGGCAACAGAGTGAGATTCTATTTCAAAAAAAAAAAAAAAGAAAAGAAAAAAAGAAATTTATTTTGTTACAGTTCTGGAGGTCAGAAGTACAATATCAAAGTGTTTACACTGTCACATTCCCTCAAGGTCTGTAGGGGAGAATCAGTGTTTGCTTCAAAACAAGGATCTCTAAGAGAAAACGACGTTTGTTCAGGAACAGGCATCACAGTGGGAATATACATGCCACAGTAAACTAGGAGGTAAAGGAAAATGAAGATTTTTTTTTTTTTAGAGACAGAGTCTCACTTTGTCACCCTTGGTAGAGTGCTATGACATCACAGCTCACAGCAACCTCCAGCTGTTGGGTTTAGGCAATTCTCTTGCCTTAGCCTGCTGAGTAGCTGGGATTACAGGCGCCTGCCACAATGCCTGGCTATTTTTTTGTTGTTGCATTTTAGCCAGGGCCAGGTTCGAACCTGCCACCCTCAGTATATGGAGCCGGTGGCCTACTCACTGAGCCACAGGTGCCGTCCAGAAAATGGAGATTTTTAAAGGTAAAAGTGAGGCAGATTGCATGATTGTTTTGAGATAATTATTCTTGGCTATGAAGATCAATCACAAGGGTGGCAGTTGGAGGTTGGTGGCAGTCCGTGGCTGGGCAGACGTCCTTGGAGAAGTATGTTTTGTGTAAGGTCACAATGACCTTCATGCAGGGGTGTGGTTTTTGTGGAGTCTTTGGAGATGATGTCGTTACCACATATGCAAGTGCGAGAACCCTGCCTTTCACAGCTTTCCTGGCTCTAATTGTCAGGGTTTTATTTTATTGTAATTTTTTTTTTTTTGTCACTATGTCACCGTCGATAGAGTGCTGTAGCATCAATAGCTCCAGCAACCTCAAACTCCTGGGCTCAAGCAATTCCCTTGCCTCAGCCTAGTAAGTAGCTGGGACTACAGGTGCCCACCACAACACCCGGTGGTGTTGTCATTGTTGTTTGGCAGACCTGGACTGGGTTGGAACTGGCCAGCTCTGGTGGATGTGGCTGGTGCCCTAGCTGCTGAGCTACAGGCGCTGAGCCTGTCAGGATTTTAAAATATAAAAGCGACTCCATTTTGATCATGACCTTGTTCACAGCCTCATCCAGCTTCGGGGACTGCTGGCATTCCTTGGTTTGTGGCTACGTCACTCCAATCTCTGCCTCTGTGGTCACCCTGCCTTCTCCTTCCTTCTGTGTCTGTCTTTTAAGGATTCATGTGGTCACATGTAGGGCCCACTCGGATAATCCAGGATAATCTCCCCCTCTCAAAGTCTCTAACATACTTTGCCAATTAAGGTAATATTTACTCTTGTGCCATGTAAAGTAATATTCTCAGGTTCTGGGCATTAGGTATTAGAATGTGGGCAAATATTTTCTTGGGGGGTAAAATTTAAGCCACTGCACAAGTTGAGCCCCACCTGTGCCCTGCCCCACCCCAGGATTCAACTTTTCGGCAGCATCAGTAGCCAGCCCTCAAGGGAGCGTAAACATGTACCACCACCTTGTGGAGACGCTCAAATTTGCTGAGGGGCAGAGGTGGCGGCTGTGGGATCCTCGAAGTCACCCAGAGATCCAGGTGAGACTGCCTGGTACTGATGGGCTCCCTCTTCCCTGCCCTAGGGCTTGGCAGGAAGGGAGGGTCAGGCCTGGCAGAGAGAGGTGGGAGGAATTCAAACGTGGTTCTAGGCCAAGTCAGCTAGTGGTGACCCAGGGCAGAGCCAGAAGGGACACCAGAGTGGCAGGTATGGGGGCAGGTTCAGCAGTGGTACCATATCTCAAATGCCTGGAGACTGTGCAGGGTCTGGACATAGCCTGGGTTTGAAGGAGGCCCCTCTGACTACTAGGTAGAGGACAGATGGGAGAGAGGCTCCCCAAGGATCCCATCTGGCCCCTCACTGCTTTTACCCCCTGTCTGCCTGTCCCAGAGCACCTCCCGAGACCTGCTGGGGGAGGCTCTGGCCCAGCATGTCCGTCAGCAGATCGATGGTAGGGGGGACCACCAGCTCAGCCACTACAGCCTGGCCGGGCCCTGGGGCCACAGGATGGGCACGGCCCACGTGTCTGTGCTAGCAGAGGACGGCAGCGCAGTGGCAGCCACCAGCACCATCAACACACCGTGCGTGGGCCCTGGGCAAGCAGGCAGGCCCCACAGCTCTGCTCCCTGCAACACCAGCATGGCTGGCCACCCCTGGGCCCCCCCTGCTCACCCCACAGGGCAGCACCTTGCTTTTGCACTCTGCCCCTCTTCCTTCCCTCCACCCTTAACATCTCTGGCTGAAAAGGCTGCTGCCAGGGTGGCCCCACGCCAGGACTCAGCTGAGCTCAGATGTGACTCAGAAGGGTGTCCTAGTGGGGGGGCACAGGTAGATCTTTGGGGAGTCCTGTCGGTGGTGCCAGGGAGAGAGCAGTGGCTCCAGCATGCTTGAAGGCAGCTGTGAGGTGAGGGGTCCTGAAAGGGTGGCCGAGCCCCAGGTCTGCCTCTCCCTGGCTACAGCTTTGGAGCGATGGTATACTCACCACGAACGGGCATCCTCCTGAACAATGAGCTCCTGGACTTATGCTGGAGACGCCCCTCGGGCTCTGGTGTCACCCCGAGACCTGGTGAGAACAGGGGCTCCCACCCTGCTTCCATAGGGACGCTGTTGGAGAGTGGAGGAAAGGGGGCCAGGCTGGTCCCGCACACCAACCTCCAGATGGGCTGAGCCACTAGCTGCTCTCTGGGGAAAGGGGAGGGGTGGGTGGTGCCCGTGGAGCATGTTGGCCCAGAAGTGAGGCTGCAGGCCGCACCTGTCTGGCACCCAGTTCCAGGTGAGCGGCCCCCATCGTCTATGGCTCCCTCCATCTTGATCAATGAAGCCCAGGGGTCAAAGCTGGTGATTGGTGGGGCAGGCGGGGAGCTCATTATCTCTGCCATGGCCCAGGTGAGCCCAGGGGGTTCCTGGCTAGAGTGTCCCTTCTGTGGACAACTCTCCTTGGGGGTGGGGCTGTGAAGGTTGGTGTAGGGTATTTGGTGCCCCCACCTTCCCTGAGTTCCCATTCTCTCACTCAGGCCATCATGAACAAGCTGTGGCTTGGCTTTGACCTGAGAGCAGCCATTGCAGCCCCTATCCTGCATGTGAACAGCCAAGGCCATGTGGAGTATGAGGCCAACTTCAGCCAGGTGAGGCTGAGGTCTGAGCCATCACTGGGTGTTGGTAATCCCCACCAAGGGGATAGGGCGCCTGGCACATATACCCAAGCTGGTGGGTTCGAACCCGCCCCAGGCCAGCTAAACCACAATGACAACTGCAACAAAAAAGTAGCCACGTGGGCGGTGCCTGTGGCTCAGTGGGTAGGGAGCCCGCCCCCATATACCAAGGGTGGCAAGTTTGAACCCAGCCCCCACCAAACTGCAACAAAAAAATAGCTGGGCGTTGTGGAAAGCACCTGTAGTCCCAGCGACTCAGGAGGCTGAGGCAAGAGAATCACCTAAGCCCCAAAGCTGGATGCTATATGTTGTGATGCCAAGGCACTCTACCACGAGCAACAAAGTGAGACTCTGTCTTTAAAAAAAAAAAAATAATATCCAGGCACCAAGTAGCTAAGGC